CTTTCTTTCTTCTCTTCTTCTTTCTTTCTTTCTTTCTTTCTTTCTTTCTTTCTTTCTTCTTTCTTTCTTTCTTTCTTTCTTTCTTTCTTCTTTCTTTCTTTCTTTCTTTCTTTCTTTCTTTCTTTCTTTCTTTTCTTTCTTTCTTTCTTTCTTTCTTTCTCCGTAAAAAAAAAATTATCTTCGAGACATACTTTTCATCAGACACGTTGTGTTGATGTCTCAACGAAGCTGTGCCCTGTAGTTAAGGGGTGATTACATGGCATTTTTTCACATTTTTGACAAAAATATCACTTTTTCAATGTGTTCATTTTGGTAAAGTTCGGCATTCGTACAATAGATTACATACAAAATTTCTGTCATTTGTAAACAATTTAGCATTGAAAAGTTAATACTAAAGACACCAACCCATGCACTTTTTTAAGATAAAAAAAAAGTTTAATAGTCAGTTTTCTCACATTCAAAATTTCTGTTTGTGTGTGTGAAATCCTAAAGTCTAAGCTAATATAAAGACTAGAAACATGCAATGTGGTATAGATGTTTCGTAAACATTATTATAGGGACTTGTCTATTTAAAAGTAGATTTTAGAAAGATTGTGTTTTTCAAAATTAGATTTTTGTCTTATGATGCAAGATTTTTTTGACTTTTTCAATAAACCTACATTTTAAAATTCTACGAAAAATATTTTAAAACATGTTTAAAGTAAATAAACTAAACCTGTACCTCTAAATAGGATTAGAGGTCGTGTATTCATCATCTATTGTTGAATATGTATGTTTGTTTTTAAAATTTCAGGATTCTAAATGTATATTGTTTTTTTTACAAGATGGCGGCCATGATATTTTTTACACTTAAAGTATACAAATTTCATAAAAAGTATCCCTACAAATGACCAATACAAAATAACTTCTTAAACTCTGTAAATAAAAAAAAAATAAAAATTTGGGTGTAGTGACCCCTTAAAGAAATATAAATGCTGTTTCATAACTCCAACATATAACAGTTGAGCTCCTCTGCAAGTAATCTGGTAAAAGGCCGCTTTGCATTGATTTCGTATAAGCGTTGACCATGCAGGGTTTACTGTTACACTAAAAAAGGTACAACTGACAGTAAATCAACAACTAACCAACAGATGCTTGTGAACGTTTGCGACGTTCTTTCCTTGTGGGGTTAGGACCCCATTTTGGGGGCGCGATAGTAGTAGTAGAGGAAGAAGAAGTAAACGATGAAGAAAAAGGAGGAGAAGAAGCAGAAGAACAAGAAGAAGAACAAGAAGAAGAAGAAGAAGAAGAAGAAGAAGAAGAAGAAGAAGAAAAAGAAGAAGAAAAAGAAGAAGAAGAAGAAGAAAAATTACAAGAGTTTGCGACGTTCTGTACATTATATGCATATACTATTTTAAGTACAGAATGAACCAGTCGTTGTCGCCCTGACTACATGTGTGTTTCCTTCGTGTCCATCTCAGGTGACAGCCTTCAAGGAAAGCCAAAGTGGAAACCTGGGATCTGGCGAGCGGGCCTTTGAGCAGGGCATCGAGAAGGTCCACAGCAACATCCGATGGATGAACTTGAACATCCCCATCATCACCCAGTGGCTGAGAGATCAGAATTATCTGTCATAATTGCCTCCATACATTCACTGCTTCCATTGTCTTCAGGGGCGCCAATTCTAATAAAACTGGGAGTAGAAGGTTTAGCTACATCCCTCTGCAAATTTCCTGGGCGGCGGAGAGGGTGGACAAAAGTGTGTGTGTGTGTGTGTGGGGGGGGGGGGGGGGTCTCCTGATGCTGATGCCCCAATGTTTCGGCGCCCTTGTTTATCATCATCCATGTTTTCACCTCTTACACCAACAGAGAGCCTATTTTCTAATGTAATGTATTCTTTGCTCAACCGTGCCTAATATCTGTATCAGTTGTGTATGTCACACTTTCTTAAGCTGATCTTTGTTTTATGTAGATACATCACAGAAACAACAACCCAATTTAGCACTTTCTATACAATGAACGTTTAAAGAGCAGACTGAAGCGGTTGTTGTGTATAGTCGCTTTTTTTCAGATCCACATTCATGGCGGGATATTGTTTAATAGATGTAGAAAGATGAGGGAGAGGAACTGATTGACCACGCACTGACATTGAAATGTTAGTCACTGCAGCTCTTCGCTGGCCAAAGAATCAGCTGTACACACATGTTGGAGTCAGTGAACAGTGAGCTGGCCTAGAGGGATCATCACGGTGTGTGGTGAACTGATGCATGACACAATAGATGTTGTGAGGGCCCTTTGGGAGTCAGTGAACAGTGTGCTGGCCCAGAGGGATCATCACGGTGTGTGGAGAACTGATGCATGACACAATAGATGTTGTGAGGGCCCTTTGGGAATCAGTGAACAGTGTGCTGGCCTAGAGGGATCATCACGGTGTGAGGCGTATGGGACTACCAGGAATAATCTGGCAGACAATTAAAACTCCGGGGAAAAGGTGACACCGATATACAATCAGACTGTTACTGATAACATCTGGATCTCTGCGCCTGCTGCTGAAGATGGGGATGGTGTACTTATGGGAATGTTCAAAGCGCTTTGATTAAACAATAAACATATGTTGAGGAGTTTGAATAATCTTCCGTTGGAGGGAAGGGGGAGGAATAGAATTTAAAAATTTGTTTTACGTTTCCAGATTGTCGGCACGTAAAATGGCCATCGGCACATGTATGGAACATAAGACCATCAGCCTGTACAAATATGCCCTGATTATTTTATACCTAAAGTAAAACAGACAGTTCTTTTGCATCTGGGACAATTATAATTTTAAGGTTGACGGGCTTTCCCGATCAACGAACAAAATGGCACCATTACATAATCATATGGTTAAAAAAAAAAAAAAAAACAGAATAGTATAAATGGGTCGTAAGTTTTTTTTCTAAAACACCTACTTGTACTTTTCTATATATTTCCTGGTATACACGTTAAACTATGTCGGCCTAGCAATAACATTACTGATGTCCTTGCAAGCCTTTGGAAGTCGACTTGGGCAGAAAGGACACAATTAATGCTATAGGCAACAAAGTCATCAAACACGAGGCGAATGTCAAGTCTAGGCAAATCAGTTGGAGCAGCTCAAATGGAAAACCACGGAAGATACCCAAGTGGCTAATTCAGGTAGCACAGAACAAGCAGTAGTCGTCAGCGCAAACACACAAGAACATGCCTGGGACAACATCAGAACACATGTGGGTACGTCCGCTATCCATGAAGATAAAACATAAATAAAGACAAAAAAGTGAATTTTGCATTAAGTATTGACATCATAGCATTATAGCATCCTGGAGATTCCCATAAGCGCCCGTTCCTTATTTTCAGCAGCAAGCACAGAGTTTCTATTCTGGTGGCGCTATTATCAGTCTGGGTGTAAACTCACCTGACCATTTCATGCATCCAATCACACAATAGATTGTTCTGCATCCAATCACACAATAGACTGTACTGCATCCATTCATACAATAGATTGTTCTGCATCCAATCACACAATAGATTGTAATGTATCCAATCATACAATAGCTTGTCGCGCATCCAATCATGCAATAGCTTGTCGTGCATCCAATCATACAATAGATTGTCAGGTACCCAATCACACAATAGATTGTAATGTATCCAATCACACAATAGCTTTCCATGCATCCAATAACAAAACCAGACCATACTTAACAAGCAATATTTTAATCTTTTTTTAGAATACTAAAGCATTATAACGGTTTACAATGAGCATTTCACACCACGCCTGCCGCCTTCACTTTCCCAGACTCTTCCTGGTACCTGTTTAATGCTGGGTCAACCTGAAAGCCAATGTCATCTTTAGGGAAGGGGGGGGGGCGGGAGCCCGGCTTCCTTAGGATCTGAACCCACGACCGTTGGATCGGTTGGCGATCGTCTTGCTGCTACATCACGGTGGCTCCGATACGGTGATACAACACTGGGTCTATCTTATAAAGATACATTTGATACGGTGATACAACACTGGGTCTATCTTATAAAGATACATTAGATGCGGTGATACAACACTGGGTCTATCTTATAAAGATACAATTGATACGGTGATACAACACTGGGTCTATCTTATAAAGATACATTTGATACGGTGATACAACACTGGGTCTATCTTATAAAGATACAATTGATACGGTGATACAACACTGGGTCTATCTTATAAAGATACATTTGATACGGTGATACAACACTGGGTCTATCTTGTAAAGATACATTTGATACGGGGATACAACACTGGGTCTATCTTATAAAGATACATTTGATACGGTGATACAACACTGGGTCTATCTTATAAAGATACATTTGATACGGTGATACAACACTGGGTCTATCTTATAAAGATACATTTGATACGGTGATACAACACTGGGTCTATCTTATAAAGATACATTTGATACGGTGATACAACACTGGGTCTATCTTATATAGATACATTTGATACGGTGATACAACACTGGGTATATCTTATGAAGATACAATATTACAATGACTCTACAATCCACACTTAGAAGACCCAGTTACAGATAACACATGGTTGTGCCAACATGAATGTGTCTTCAAACATGTCGTATGTGACCAAACCTTCAGTCTCAGTGGATCCGTCGTTTTTCATAACAAGTTCACTTTTGGGAACAATTCACGTAATAGTACTGCATAGCTGTGGAGAGACGGAGCACGTGAAGCCCTGCATTAAGTGCACAAGCAATATCAGCTGTATGCTGTCATCGTCACATAGACACGCAAACAGAACTAGGTAACGCACGTTACACGGGGAGATAGATGTACAAGAGTAATGGCCAATGATCCTGTACAAACCATCTGTGATGTTTGCTGCTGCTATTGTTGTTGTAATGGCCAATGATCCTGTACAAACCATCTGTGATGTTTGTTGCTGCTATTGTTCTTGTTGACAACGATGATTATGGTGATGATTATATTGTTATTGTTAATATTTAATGATGTTATTGACGTTTTCGCCAGCGTAATAATATTGACAAAGAAGGCGGCGTCTGTGGCTTAGGCGTTGCGAACTTGCTCCTAATTCTAAGATACTTGGTTCGATTACAGCTGCTGGCAATATGGCAGCAGATCGTAGTGGGTTCGATTCGACAATGGTATTTCTCTTTAGAAAGCAATGCAAACTACTGAACGTACAATTTTATCTAGTGAAATCAGACAGCCAATAAATTCTAGGGTTTGGCTCTACAACGTCCCCTAAAGGACACTGACATTGTCGATACTTCGGAGGCTGACGATGATGGAATCATCCTTTTTCAGTGGTCCTTTATCCTTTACATTTTCCAGCATGCACAGACTCTGTTGAAACATTTTCTTCACTAATCCAGTTCTGCCGTTCAGAGTCAAGTGTTATATTTATCCTTTTTTATTTGTTTTGTTTCTTCGAGCAAGATTTAATCCACTGCCGGCTGGCTAGGCCTGTCGCAGTTTAAGGGAGTATATAAACATATGGATTTCATTTCACCTGGCGAGAAAGTCCCGTTAGCCGAAGATCTCGAGACCTCAGATTTCTGGTTTGCACCGCTTGGAGGTCTTGACATCTATAAAATATTGGTCTAGCCCTATACGCCCCCTCTAATTCCATATTTCATATAAATGTTGGCTAGTTGAAGAGTGGCTTGCCTGATTGCAACCCGATCTTCTTAGGTGTGAGAACTGAGTTCACATCCTGAGTCAATCGATATGGCTTTTTTAGCTGGGGCTGGAATAAACATCAGAATCTGAACAGCATAGCCAAGCGACACAAAGTCTTCAAACTAAAAAAACAACAACGAACCTCCACCCCCCCCCCTCCCCTCTCCCTTTTCCCTTCCGTTCTACATCACCCTAAAAAGTGAATGTTTAGACAGTGCTGGACAGTGCACTTCATCTGAATCATTGCAGGAAAACAAGATTAGGATTTCGTAAACTTGTCCCAACTAACAAGTGCTAACATTGCTGAGCTGTCAGTGTTTTGCCAGCTACACCTTGAGTGAAATCCAGATCAAACTTGTGATTTAATGTGACGAATATTGTTTAACTGTGTTGTCCTTCCTGGCATATTGCGTTGTATGTACCAGTAACACATCACATGATTATAAAAAAATTATGAATAAATTTTAAACGACAAATCTGATTATGTTTAATTATTGGTTTTCCATTTTAGGGCGTTATCGTTGTTATAATTGTTTCCATTGTATCTGTTATAACACCGAACTGTTTTTATAATTTCATCTTGTGTCCCATCAGATATCAACCATCATACGCTCTTGATCCTGTCTTCTGTTTCTAATAATCTGTCCCTTATCTGACAAGACTTTCTAATAATCTATCACTTATCTGACAAGACTTTCTAATAATCTGTCCCTTATCTGACAAGACTTTCTAATAATCTGTCCTTATCTGATAAGACTTTCTACTAATCTGTCCTGTATATGATAAGACTTTCTACTAATCTGTCCTTATCTGATAAGACTTTCTACTAATCTGTCCTTATCTGATAAGACTTTCCACTAATCTGTCCTTATCTGATAAGACTTTCTACTAATCTGTTCCTTATCTGACAAAATTTTTTTCTAATCAT